CAGTAAATGGCCTAAATGGTGTCCAAATTCTTCCAGCAAGGCCCAGTGAGCGAAAAACAGCTCCATTTCGTGACCAATACCAATTTGGGATGATTCAACGAGGACGGGAGGTAAATTTTGGTCACATTTTTGTTGTGAAGATATGTGGTTCCCTTAAATGATGGGCATGAGGATTTTTTTTTATGGATAAAATGGTGAAAATGTTGGACTTATTTGTGGAACGACATTTGATTTGGTCGAGTAGATACTACTTGGTTTATTCGTGGATAATTATATGATTTTTGCGTGGAAATATTTGGTTTACTCGTGAAGATATTATTTGCGGAGCAATATTTGATTTATTCATGGAGATAATTAAATTACTCGAGGAGATTATGTGATTTATTTGAGGAGAATATTGGATTTGTTTGTGGAGTATTATTATACTTCTTTTTGGAATATGATTGGATTTGAGTGTGGAAATGCTTGATTTGATCGTGGAGGTACTTAATTTGCTCGGTTCAACATATTTGATTTATTCGTGCAAAATTATGCCATTTTTGCGTGGAAATATTTAGTTTTCTCGTGGAATTATTTGGTTTATCCATGGAGCTCATCGGACTTATTCGTGGGGAAGATACTTGATTTAATCGTAGCTATTTGATTGGTCGTGGTGATACTTAATTTGGTCGCAGAATTATTTAATTAGTTGTGGTAATGTTTGATTATTCATGGAGGATTGTTTGATTTGCTCATGTTGAAGTATATGGTTTATTCGGAGATTTATTTGATTCGCTCATGGAGATATGTGACTCATTCGTGGTAACATTTGATTTATTCGGGGAGAATTTCTTGATTTTCTCGGGTTGGATTATATGGTTTATTTGGGGATTTATTTGATTTGCTCGTGGATATATTGGATTGAAAATGAATGCGGGTCATGATTTCGAATTGAGGATGTTTTAGGATTGTGTTTATCGTGTTTTTTGGTGCACTTATCGATAGGCTCGAGGAGGTGGATTAATATTATGCAATTCGATTTC